GCGTGCTGTTTTGAGAGTCATTAAGAGTTGGGTTCGTCGTATTCAATCGATTAAAGGCAATATTTTTATCTGATGCAGTTACAGTTTCAGATGGCGAGATACTCTGCTGGTACCGGTGATTGTCCTGGCTCGCCTAAATCTGTACGAATCGTTGTTGTTGGTGACAAGGGCACTGGAAAATCCAGCTTGATTGTCGCTGCAGCCACCGATTCCTTCCCTCCCAACGTCCCTCCTGTTCTGCCTGATACCAAGTTACCTTTCGAATTCTTCCCTGATGGTATACCCGTCACCATTGTTGACACTTCCTCGAGGTATATCTCGTTATATATATGTTTTGACATGAAGGTTGAGCACAAAATTGCTGCATAGTTTCTCTTTTGGATAAGGATACTTGAACCATAAGGATGCTAGTGTTGATAAAGAATGTGGCTTTTGGTGACCACAGAGGAAAGTGACCTCTATTGTTTATGTTTTGTCATACATGCATATGAGTGTCACACAGTTAAGGCTAAACTATAAATGAACTGAAAAGGTTACTATTAACCCATAAAACATCTTTGTTGGGATAGCACTGTGCCAACTGTCAGTTACTGATCACGTGGATTCGCGGGTTTCTGAAAGAAGGGTCTAGGGTATTTCTGCTTTGACAGCTTTGTTGAGGTGCTTGAAGTAACTTTTAATGTTTCTTCTGATGATCTGATGAAATCAGGCCGGAAGATAGGAATAATGTTGCTGAGGAATTGAAGCACGCAGATGCAGTGGTTTTGACATATGCCTGTGATCGACCTGAGACTCTAGAACGTTTGAGTGCATACTGGCTTCCAGAGCTGCGGGGATTGGAGGTTTGATATTCCTCTCTGTTTTCAGTTTGGTCTCAATCTTGTTTACAGTAGAAGGTGTAGAATCTCTGTCCTAGTGTTAGAAGGTGTTAAGATATATTGTGACCTAAAATTTTGCTGTGTCTTATTAAGATTGGCTTGTGATAATTTTGAACAGGTAAAAGTTCCTATTATAGTAGCAGGGTGTAAGCTTGACCTCAGAGAGGACAATAACCAGGTCAGCCTCGAACAAGTGATGTCACCTATAATGCAGCAGTTTCGGGAGATTGAGACATGTATCGAGTGCTCTGCCCTAAAGCAACTCCAGGTAACATGAATTCTGTTATTTCTCTTGAGATGTAATATTTGTCTAAGATCGAACTAGCACAAATGTTGGTTCCAGCTAGCTTAGGCATGTGATCGTCTTACTAAATAATTTCAAAGACATTAGATGTACAAAGTTTTTGCCTGAAATTGGATATTGTGGTGATTGGTTTGGACTTCTATCAGGGATGAATTGGAAATGCCTAGTCAGAAAACAACGTTAGGTGGGAATTATATATTATATTTCAGGTCTGAACTATCATTCTAATGAAAAATCTTTCCTGTAGGCACAAGAAGTTTTCTACTATGCACAGAAAACTGTTCTTCACCCAACAGGACCTCTGTTCGATCAAGAATCCCAAGCATTGAAGCCACGGTGTGTAAGGGCCTTGAAGCGTATCTTTATACTCTGTGACCATGACAGAGATGGTGCTCTTAGCGAGGCGGAGTTAAATGATTTTCAGGTTCTTCTATTTGCCCTTCTTGTATTTCATGTGCTTTGGCTTAGGCCTATCCTTGAGGTCCTTAAAATAAGCTTTGGAGTTTAATTATGATTCCCTTATCCCCATGACCCACCTAATAATTGTTTCAAAATAGGTCAAGTGCTTCCATGCACCATTGCAGCCTTCTGAAATTGAAGGTGTTAAGAGGGTCGTGCAAGAAAAGTTGCCAGAAGGTGTGAATGAAAGAGGACTGACCGTGACTGGCTTCCTGTTTTTACATGCACTTTTTATTGAGAAAGGGAGGCTTGAGACAACGTGGACTGTACTTAGGAAGTTTGGGTATAACAATGATATAAGACTTGCTGATGAGTTGCTTCCGTCATCATTATTCAAGCGAGCGCCCGATCAGGTAAATTGCAGAAGTAGAGTCCATACTGGATTCATTATTGTATTAGTTGGTGTTTCCAGTAGTCTATTACTGGATGAGCTGTATATCGAGTTTTTATTTTGGATCTTATCAGAAATAAGAATTTTGGAATACAGTTATCTTACAGCTCACAGCAACTTGTCTTCTTTTGGCACTGTGCAGCTAATGGTTGTGTTCATTTTTTTTTTGTAGACTGTTGAGCTGACAACTGCGGCAATCGATTTCCTGAAAGGGATGTATATGTCGTTTGATGACGACGGGGTAAGTCTCCATATTTTGTTATTAATGGCTTAGGTTGCGGGTTTATAGTTCTTACAATAAATTTGCACTTTGCAGGATAATAATCTGAGACCTCAAGAGATTGAGGATCTTTTTTCAACTGCACCTGAAAGGTACCTTTTCCACCTTCAGTAGGCAAAGGACGCGTAATTTTTACTACGGTAGTCTCCATTACGTTACAATGCAATAGTAAATTTTTAATGGCAGTCCTTGGAAGGAAGCACCTTATGAGGATGCTGCGGAGAAAACTGCCCTTGGAGGACTATCTTTTGATGCTTTCCTTTCACTGGTAATCAATACCAATCCTTCTTTGCTTTATTTTTGCTTTGAATTTGTTGATTGACAGACTAAAATGCCATGCAATTCTCTCTGTTAAAAAGAGTTGTTTATGTATCTTTGTTTTCATGTGACACGTTTATTTGTCATTAGATTTATGTGGTTTCGCAATAGCGAGTGGATTTCTTATTAAATTGTTCATTGAACCAATTTAAAGTTTATATTTGTGCTGATCTTTCAATTTTATCCTTGCAGTGGTCATTGATGACACTATTAGAACCGGCACGGAGTGTGGAACATTTGATATACATTGGATTCCCCGGTGATCCATCTTCTGCCATTCGTGTTACTAGGAGAAGACGTTTAGATCGCAAAAAGCAACAGTGTGAAAGAAAAGTTTTCCAGTGCTTTGTTTTTGGACCCAATAACGCTGGAAAATCTGCATTGCTGAATTGCTTTCTTGGAAGGTTCGTCATGTTTACTTGTACCAAAACTTGTTGCATTTCCAAATCCACACATAAGAGGGTGTAGTATATCCTTTCATGTTATGGAGACGTTTTGCATTACCAAAATTTTCTTCTTTTTCAGAAAACCTCTCCATCTAACTGACAGTTAATATCTTTCTTTGATCTAGGTCATATGCTGATAACCATGGATCAACTGCTGATGAGCGCTATGCAGTAAATATGGTCGATGAATCTGGGGTGAGTTGGAATACTTATGCAATTTGTATCATTATATAATGTGTGTGTGCTCATAAAAGATATATGTAATATATTTTTCCTCTCAAATAGATCTCCAATTGGAAAAATACTGGTAAGAATCACAAACTTGAGTGTTATTTTGTGGACTTTGAGATGGGAACTAGCTAGATATCATTGATGAGTTGTTTCTATGGTACATACATGCTTTTTTATCTAGGGAGTTTCAAACAAAACTGTTCAGATATGCTTCTCTTCGAGATATTGAAATGGTTATTTGGTTGTAAAATTTTGGCATCCTTCGAGGCTACTTTCTCTAAGTTGCTGTATCTAATTTGCTCATTAATCTGATAATTGCAAATCTCTGAGTGTAGGGTGCAAAGAAAACTCTTGTCATGAGGGAAATTCCAGAAGATGGGGTTAAAGGGCTATTTTCATCCAAGGAATCCTTGGCTGCATGTGACATAGCTGTCTTTGTGTATGACAGGTATATTTCTTGCTGTTTGATTTGTTCAAATATGCTCAAGTTGCCTTTTCATTCTCTACTCATAGATTGTGATCAATTATGTATCATTAATCGCCACCTGGTTGCCTGCAACGATTGAGTTCATTGGGCGTAAATATCTGATGTGCTTCCTTATTTTCTCTTTGTTCCAGTTCTGATGAGTCCTCATGGAAGAGAGCGACTGAGTTGCTTGTAGAAGTTGCAACTCACGCTGAAGCTACTGGATATGAGGTTCCTTGCCTCATGGTTTCAGCAAAAGATGATCTTGAATCATTTCCAATTTCGATACAAGAATCTACCAGGGTAGGGTACCTATTGATCTCCAAGTCAATGGAAATAGCTTGAATAACTTGTAAAGCACCTTATATATATTAATGCACACGGATCATTTTGCAGGTAACACAAGATATGGGAATAGAGCCTCCGGTATCCATCAGCTCCAAATTGGGGGATTTCAACAACTTATTCCGCAAAATCTTAACTGCAGCACAACATCCTCATCTGAGTATTCCAGAGACCGAAGCAGGAAAAAGCCGCAAACATTACAACAGGCTAATCAACCGCTCTCTTATGGCTGTTTCGAGTACGTTTTCTTTCCTTTGACACAAGTTTCACACAGACAAACAAACCCGTAACAAAAAGCTCAGACTCATGTTCGGTAAAATTTTATTTTTAATGTGTAAACAGTTGGAGCTGCTGCTGTGGTCGTTGGGCTGGCTGTATACCGTGTGTATGCCACAAGAAAGAACGCTTCTTCCTGAGAAGATTGATAATGACAATTCAATCTCTTAAGGTATGAAGACGGAAGGAAGATGGCAAATCTCTTGTTCTGAGTTTTGTTTATCATTCTCAAGTTTACACCAACTGGATCTAGAGTACTGTTTTTTTAGAAGTTTAATGGAAATGGGCTTTGAAGAAGAATATCTGTAGGGACACAAACATTTAGGGACCAAAAAAGAGAGAACATAGTCAATAGACATTGTATTGATTTTCTTCAATAACAAAAGAACTTTGTCTCCTAATCTTGTTCTTGTTTGCTTTTGTTCTCTGGGCTTACTAACCAGCAACACATTAACTTCAAAGAAACAGAAAAGGAATAGAAACGTTTGTGTTAAAGCAGTAACTTGCTCTAAAAAAAAATGGAAGATACATCTGACATCACATAACAACCATGTTTTATAAAGTTCTCTTGATCAAAATTTCCCGATTGACAATCTTTTGGAGCCAAAACTGGACGATGTTATTATATTATTATTGATCTTCCCAGTACTTTTCCGGCTCTTCAAGTGAAACTAACCTTGACGCCAATCTTGACGGTGAGAATGATATTCTGAGCTTTGCAGCAGTTGATAACTTTCCGAGTTTAGCCCGTGAGATCGAAGCTTTAGGAGATTTACCATTTCTTCTTGGTGGAGAAATCAAAGCGACTGTAGGCAGGCTAAGTGGAGATCTTCTATTAGTAGCATTCTTGATCCTACAACAATGTGTTTAACCGTAAACCCTTTTGTGTTTTGAGATAAGTTGAAAGTATGTAAAATCCGATTTCCCGGTAAGAAAAAGGTTTAAGCTTTATCTTGGTAATGGGTTTTACCTCAAAGTTTCTTGCTTGCATCTAAGACTTGTCTTTAAGTATGTTTTAGTGCTCTTAGGACTAAAGGCTTACACCGGAGACTTTGGTTCCTCCTGCTACTGTGTATTGCAGCTCTTGTAGTCTTTTCATACATTTGTCAACCTTCACAAAGATTACATGATCTAAAAGCCACCATTGCCACTTTCCTCATGAGCTTTTGTGGGGTTCTTGCAACAATCTTTTTAAAAAATCAATCATGTTATCATCCAAATCTCTATTCAGAAACTCTAAGGCCTCACAGTTACAAATCTGCGGTTTGAAGACAAAAACTCAAATCTAAGCAAGAATGTAAACGAACACTTTCACAAAGACACTCTTGTTCTTGTTGTTTTTATGGATTTGAGCCGAAATCTAAATTTCATCAAATATATCAATACCATACCACAAGATCTCTCAATGGAGTTAACAAATCCAAAACAATACGAAGATTAAGAAAAAAGCAACAGAAATCCTAAGGTTTTGAACAGAATGTAAACGAACACTTTCACAAAGACAGTGAATAAAAAAAGATAGTAGTATAAAGGCCATTATTGTTCCTTCCGGAGTACATCGGAGGTGGAAGAAGAAGACGACCGCATGGCTAAGAAGGTTGATCTTCTGTTCTTGAACTTAAGGGGACTCCACACAACCGTCTTCTTTTGCAATGCAACCACCGTGGGATGGCTCGGCTTCCACGAGTTGCCTCCTCCTCCAAGTGGGCTCTTCATGAATCTGCTGCTTTTCATTGCATTTGGTGTCACCAGATTGTGGTCTGGAGAGAAGAGCTTAGAGTATCTTGCCTTTCTCGGGTTACCACCACGGAAGATAGAAGAAGAAGGGCGTGATGGAGTTGTCATCATGTTCATGTAAGATGAAGAAGATGATGCTTCTGGTCTTAACGTTGCGATTGAGACTCTCCTTCTGGGCAGTAAGGTTTTGTTGCCTGATGCAACTGCTGATGGAGGAGGAGCTGGTCGGTATGCGATGGAGCTTCTTCTTGGTTTCATTAGTGCGTTCATGTCCATGGATGATGATCTTCTACTGCTGTTATTATTATTATAGTTCTCTTTGCTCTTTGTTGATGTTGCGTCTGAGAATCTCTTGATAGGACCCTGAGATGGTTGTTGGGGCATGAAGTTTGTGATTCTTCTGAGTGGCATTCGCAGCATTCTTGTGGGAGCCAAAGGCGGCTTTTTTTCTGTAATTGTCGGTAGTTGCTCTCTCACTTGTCTAGATGTCGTTGATGATGATGCAGACGCTATAGCTCGTGTCTCCTGCTTGATTCTGGTTTTCCTTTCTTCTGCTAGTTGAAATTCCAGATCACGAACCTGAAACATGATTTGGGATTAGTGTTAAAATTTATAAGAAGAGACAACTCAACATACATATCAAATCCGTTGGTTAAAGCGGACTACCTTGTCTTGAAGTCCTTTGCTTATGTGTTCTCTGGCAGCTAGGCGTAGCTGTAGTGACTGCACAGTGTCCTGTAGCTTCTTCGTTTCTTTTTCCTCCTGTTTCAGCTTCTCGGCCTGTTAATTGTTATGAAAGAGACAACAAAAAGAAAATCAGCTTGAGATAAGTCAAAGTTTAGCTTAGATGAACTGGAGTTCGAGGAATAACATTACCATTTGTTTTAGCTTGAGGAGTTCAGATACATCTGCCTGTTTCCGGGCAGGTCCACTTTCAATTCCCCGGACTCGACTAGCAAAATTTAAGGAACAAAGGGTCTCTCCTAGATCGGAGGAACTCGGGCTAATCTGGACAAACATTAATGTCTTGCAATCTCCACCTACATAAGTCACAATGAAATAGACACACCACGGAGATGAAAAAACCAGATGTTACATGGTTCATGTGCCAAAAACATAAGACAAACTTTACTTACCCAAAGAGTTTTGCAGCATATGAGTGAGCTTAGAGTTTCTGGAGTTGCACAAAAGGAGGAAATATTTTGTCAAGAACATTAATCAGAAAAGCTCATATGAAAATGTCTTAACAGAGTGGAAGAAGGGGAAAACCTGTAAGGAATGTGGCTTGTTTTGGATGCAAGGGCAGAGATAACATCACCGAGTGCTGAAAGCGACTTATTGATAAACTGAGATTCTTTCAGCCTTTCTCCTTCAACTTCTACCTTTCCTACTCGCTCACTGCCTGCCAAGTCCACCAACCAAAGATGGCTTCTGGTTCTCTGACCATTGATCAAATTCTCTCCCTTCACTGTCACTCGTAACAAGCTGCACAAAAAGAAAATTTTGCTTGTATGAATAAGGTTTCGTTTCACATGATTTTAGTTCCAAACCCTCTTTGCTTACCAATGCGAGCGGCTGCTTTGCTCATTTGCGGCTGTTGATCCCACAGATCTAACAGAATATCCTCTCTTGAGCAGATCCCATACTTCATCTGTATTGAAAACTTGTGCTTCGACTAATCCAGGGACTTCCTGTGTTCCTTCTGCTGATTGCTTAACCTCCAGCCTTCATCAATTCAGCACAGACTGTTACTTTGGATTTTTAAAGAAGAAAGAAAGAAACTGTGAAGAAATTTATTCTACTACCAATAAACGTAAAGGAGGACCTACTTTTTGGGGGGATGGTTTGAGTTATCTACCAAAAGGTCCATTATCTTCTCATTGTAAACCTCCAGCATGCTAACAGATAGCTCAAACTTCATGAGACGACTTCTGCTTTCTGCACAGTGAAACAATTCTTCTAATGTCCTATAGTTCACTCCTCTATTCTCTGGTGTTCCCTCCATGGTAAATGTCTTGCCAGTTCCAGTCTGGCCATAGGCAAATATACAGACATTATAACCATCCAGCACCGAAGTAACTATAGGTTTCGTCTGTGCAAAAACAGTCTCTGCAAATAAAGATACAGTTAGATCAGAAACTCATTGGTGTATTGTTCGAAGAGCAAAGGTTTAGCTAAATAAAGATACACTGGTAGCGCCTCAGTTTACCTTGGCCATCCTGAGGCTTAAACACATGATCAAACTTAAAATGCTTCTTGGAGGAATCGGATGAAAGAATTTGGAGCTCATTTTCCTGTGTTGTATCGAACTCGACTACAGAAACACAACCATTGGCTACTTCAGCTAGGTTAATAGGTCTGCATCTGCAAAAGACCCTGATGTTTCCCTTGAGTTCGATTACTTCGTTGTACAATCGTTTCCTCTCTGATGACTCTTCCAAGTATTGCTTTTTCAGTGTTCCAAGCTCAGTAGCTGCCATTCAACACGTTGATGCATATCAATTACAATCAAAGCAAACAAGTTTTGTAGTAAGAAGATGAAGTACTGACTCAGAAGCTGGAGAGCCCTTGAAATTTCCGGTTCTGCAAATGAACAATTCTTGATCTCTTTCACATGGTTGGATACCAGTGCATGTTCATCTTTCAAGACCTGTAATAGGAGTGGAAAAATCACAAATGGCATCATTTTGAAACAGCCTCGAAACTTATATCCCTCACTATTTGCATCCAGAGGTAAACTATTGTAAGTACCAGAGGAAGACAAAGAAAGTAGTACCTTAATTTTGTTGCTCAAATCAATAATTTTCTGCAAAATTGGAAGTGTTGGTCCACTAGCAGGAGAAACATCTTGGTTTCCACTTGTAACAGTATCCTCGCTTTCTTCCACTATATGAGCCA